CTTTAATATTTAGGTTATTTAAATGTTTTATCTCTTATATCATTAAGGGTAAAATGGTCAATATTACATTTTTTTCATTTCTTTCCATTTTGCAATCAAACAAGGTTTACCATTCATCCTCACATCTCTTCATAAATAATCCTTCCAAACAATGTAAAATTATTTTACATCACCTTACTTCCTCTCACCTCCCTTCCATTAAAATTCCTCCGCTCCTTTGAACCTAACATACCCTAAAAATAGAACAAAACATTCCCTACTTCTCGCGAGTCCACCCACCGTCATAGCCGCAGACCCAACACGTGTGCCAATCCTCACGAACAAAATTAAAAGAGAACTGCAAATTTTAAACCCACAGGTCTAAAAACTCCAATCTGAACTCGAACGGCCAGTCAGATATGACAAGGAATTGAGACTCGGGCCAGCTCATATACCCAATATATGAGCGTTTTGAAAAGTGATAATTTGTAAAATAGCATGTCAACATAAACTTTTCATAATAACTAACTGTTATTTACCAAATAACTATTTACAATCCGCTAACATAATTTAACAGTCAAATCAACTATCACAATCAGCTATTAGTTGTGCGCTATGTGCTAAAAGCCAAACAAGCCAAAATGAATGTATGATTGAGAAACAAATATTGAATACAGTAAGATTAACAACAAACCTCATTTTGACGGGGTCTGTAGTTGCTAAGAGCATGTTTGGATACAAAATTTTTCAAAAAAATCCAAACATTTTTAACTCAACCATTTTTTTTAACTCAACTTTAACTCAACCCCACTATCATCAATATTATCAATATAATTAAATAATATCAATCAATCATTCTTACACACCACCTTACCTTAATTCACTATTCATCCACTCACATAATTTTAATAAACCATCACTTCAAATTTTCTCTCACCTACTTTACATCAAATCAACTTTAATCATTTTATTTTAAATATTATTTAATATACCCACTAACATTTAACCATACCAACTTTTTCAAAATTAACCAAACCAAACAAAAAAATCCAAACAAAACCAAAATTTTTTATATCCAATCATCCTCTAAAAGTTGCTCGGAACAAAACCAGTCTTTTATTTTCGTTTTTATTTTTATATGAAAATGCTGCCCAATATCAGTGTGGAACAGGAAAACTTAAACATGAGAAAACCACCCTCAGCTTTAGTTTTAATTATAAATCAACTTATCTGTAGGACTAATTATAAAATTCCTCTCTAAAACATGGGATTACAAAGNTTTCTTAAGGTGCTAAAAGATCTTCACTCAACTGATTCACTTCTTCTCCAAGAGTTTGTCGATGAGATCAGCCGCATCTTGTATGGTTGCGATGCTTTGAGCACTTTCTTCCTCGACACTAATGCCAAACTCCTCCTCAAGTCCCATCACTATCTCAACCTGATATGAAGAATAAAAATATTACCGTTCGGAAATCTTGATGAAATTAATCATTAAGGTGCCTCGATCGAGTTCAAAAAGTATAATTTTCAAGAAAAAAAATCTTCAGTGATATGAAAATGATTTGTAATGTGATATCTCAATCCAAGGCTAAATAAAATACATCACAAATGTATTTAAGAGAAAAGGGGAAAAAATGAGATTAAAAAACATCTTTACCGTGTCAAGAGAATCGGCACCAAGAGTCGCAAACTTCGTCTCAGCAGAGACATCAAGATCCAAATCAAGAGCCAGTTGACACTTCACAATCTCGACCACTTTCTTCACGGTCTCTGGTTTGGCCTGATTACAAAGAATTATTCAAAAATGGCAATTAACAAACTTCCGATTCTGCTTGCAAGTACCAACTTAGCCTCATGCTTGCAAGTTTTTTTCGGAATGGAAGTAAAGGAAAATGCCAAGTCTAATTTGCAATTCTCACAAACTGACTTATTACAACTAACTTGGAACCATTTAGTTAATTGCACAACATCTCTGTTTTGCTCTTCTAAAATTGCTATGCGAAACGAGGCCTAGTCAGAACGACCCAAATCATGTATAAAACTAGAGAATAATTGTACAAAATTTTTTTAAAAAAAAAACAAAGGTATGATGGCTAAAAATAGCATACCGAGCATGCAACTTTGAAACGAAGGGCCGGTAATCTATGAGAAGGAAAGGCCTTTCCGCTGAATGAAAATGAAGCCTTCCTCAGATTTGAAACCTGCTCAAGTTTATAAAAATACAAAATAAGGGGCACTAAAACAAGTAATTATGGAAAGGATTTAGTCTTGAATATCCGAAACCCGTGACCAATCAAATTGATGAAAGAAAGTAACCAATTTCTAGTATCTTTCGGAAGATCATTCGGGCACAAATATTTCTTTTGGTTATTCTATGTGTTCAGAATGATTAAGCATGTGATGAAAAAATTATGAAGTTTTCTGAAAAGTGCAATGCAGCTACAAATTCACCACAAATAAAACA